CAGTAACAGACTGTAAGTAATTTGGTTCTTAGTTGCCTGTGTAATGTCTTCTCAAGTAAAAAAAGTCAGCTGAAAGCTGCAGGGTTTTGTTTCTCAGTTACACTTCAGGCTTCTGTCAATTGGTACAGTTACTTGTAGCATTTGCTTTTACCTGTAAAGGTTGAAAATGTTGCATTGGCAGGCACTGCTGCCTCCTTCCAGTTGTCTTTGAGAGGAGCAGCACCAAGGTGCCTACCTGGGGAATTCTCTGGCAGAGGTGACGTACTTTTAAAAACATTTTTTAAATACAAGCTGTTTGTTTGGTTTTTTTTTTTAATAGGGCACGCACACACAGATTTAAGGTATTCAGTTATACCAGCATATTTAACCACAGTGCCACAGCGAGGCTTTGTCAGCTCTCCTGAGACTAACATTCCAAGGCAAGTGGGTGCACAAGAAGGACCCAAGGGATGTTTGCTGGTGCAGCCTAGCCCTTTGGAGTCTGTAACTAGGCAATGCAAAGTTCCAGGGTGATCCAAAGGGCCCCCCATCACCCCAGCACAGAGCTGGCTGTGAGTATCTGCCTGCACATAAAAAAAATGACACATTTAGGATGCAACAAATTTGTTACATGTGTGTCCAACTCCGCAAAGATCCCCGGCCTTGCTGTTTGTGCGTTAACACAAACATGGACAGCATCATCTGGCCAAAACTATGCCCAGAGGCAAATAATTTCCTTCTGTTAAGTTTTCCAACTGCTCCTCAGGGCACCATCACTTCTAGACTGAAGTTTGGGGCAGGGCCTGGAGACAGAGTTTGGGATGTTACTGGGAAAAGGGCAGCTCAGCTGATTTAAGCTGAAAAACAATTTCTATGCTCTTGACCCACTCTGTCCAAGGCTTTTCAATTGAGGGGCAAGAAGGCCTTGGGGAGTGGGGGAGGGAGAAGTAAGAAAACTGAATTTCAGGCAGGATGGGGGGCAGCAGCACCAGCATTTTCCTGCCATCTGGCAGCCAGACAGCTTTCTGTAAAAAGCAGGGTTATATTTTTTAATTTCTGTCTCTGAGCACTTCTCAGTCCCCCCTGTCCTGCTCTGCCCTGGCCCGTGGGTGCAGCGCTGGTGAGGCGGCCGTGCTGCTGGTGCCAGCCCTGTCCCCATGGTTCCTGCTGGGAAAACAGGCAGTGGGTGCCAGGTGGGAGCTGCAGCAGTGGTGAGTCCAGCACTGACATGCTCAGAGGTGCTGCTGCTGCAGCACAGCACAGGCATTTCAATAAAAAGCTCCACAGGAGACTGGCTTGAGAGAGAGAACTTCCCTGTAAGCAGCTGAGATCTTTTCTTTCAACACAGAATTTCAGATGCAAATAACTATTGCCATCTACTGGAAACAGACTTGTGGAGCCTCAACCAGGCAGTGCAGGATCAGGCTAAGAGACACAAAACCCCTTCCACCACGGGGAAAGGGAGAGCACATCACAACCTACAGGCCATTCCTTCCAAAGTAATTGATTATTCACAAACTATCAAATGCCAACTTATAGATAAGCAAAAAACAGTCATCCCAGGGTGTGGGTGTCATCATCCAACTCCCCACCACCACCCTGGCAGCACAACAGTCAACTGTGCAAACAAGGTCCTTCCATACCTGCTGCTGCTCCTCCGCCCTCTCTCATGGCATTTCCACAGCAGCTCCAGCACAAGACACAGAGCACGGTCTCCTTTGCTTTGGAGTGTTGCCTGGTGCTTGACAACTCTGGTGTGCTCAGTGTACAGGTTAGTGGGACAATCCTACAGTGGTCTCACACGTTCCCAGTGCAAGCTGAGCAAGAAGCCCAGCTGAGCTAGTAGCCAGGTCATACAGGGTCTGTGCTGCCCCCACTACACGTTCCTTAAACCTTCTGAACGTGTACTTGTCACCTACCTGTCTCAGGAGGCTTTGCCTCTGAGGAAGGAAGAAGGAAACGTTATCCAGGAAAACAAATATTCTGTAAATGCTCTGAACAACTTCTGCACAGCTCTATACAGTCAGGAGAGCAAACAGGGCTGTACCAGTAAGTGCTCCATAACGTTCATTAGCAAACATTTTGATCAATAAAACTGATGAACCACAATTTTGTTAAGTAAAAGAAACTGGTCCAGACACTGTGAGATCATTAGGCCTTACCAAAATAAATAGTACCTGGAATATCTGACCAGCTATGCAAGTGACTGGAAGTCAGTGACTGGAAGTACACGTGCAGCTAGATGGGCGAGGGTTCCTCAGACTCCTCTTGAGAGATCATCTGGACTCTTGTCAACACAGGGATGAAACTGCCACTGATGCAGATCTCCTACTGCCACACCCTTCTCATCAAGTACCCCACAGCAGGGAAAACCCCTCCTGCAATACATGCCTGTATATTAACACCATTCTGAAAGCATGGACTTCTGCAAGCTGTAACATCTATCTAGAAGGCTATTTATTCTGACAAAAAGCTGATTTAAAATAGCATGTGCTTAGTGTTTGAAAATATCAATGGGCTTCTTTTTGCAAAACAAACCAAGAAAGCAAAAAAGAATCATAACATAGTAGTTGCAGTGAAAATGGGAAATGAAAAGCAGGAAAAGTAATATCCCTAAACAGATGCTCCTCACTCCTAATGATAAGAAGAGTATCAATATGTTAAATAGTCCACAGTGACTGTTAAGTAATCACGATGTCTGCAAAGGAAACCAGTTACCATCATCATCTAGTTCTCTGCTAGCTTTGATATAGCTAAAAATCAATCTAAGTAACACATAGATATATTCCCTCGTGGAATGCTGCATTCTTTTCTGCACCTCAGTCTCCCCTTCTCTGGGTATTTTCTTATATACCTCATAAACACGTGTGTGTTTTACATGAAACAGTGTGAAAGGAGAAGGAGCCTACAGACTTTTCCAGGGCCTGACAAGTTATTTACTAGCAAAATCTGACAATTCCCAAATGAGACAAGTTTTTATCCCCAGCTATTGGTCCAGACATTGAATACAAGAGACCATAACACAATGAAAAATCCCAGAAAAATACACAAGGAAAAATGTGATTAAATCCTAGAAGCTCAAGACTCTGAGGTAATCAAATCTCAAAGAGCATTCTGTATACCTTGTGGACGTCAGTCTTTTGGTCATTCCTTCCTGAAAGTAAATATAAACACTGACACCTTATTCAAAGAAAAATATGTTATTGTGGGTGTTGGATGAACCCATTCCACCCTCAAAGAGAAGCATTTCCTTTATAAATACAGCAAGAAATGGGCTCTGCTTCTACTAAATCTCACAGAAAAACTGAGTGACTACCAACAGCCTCCTTCAATTCAAACTAAAATAAAGCATGTTGTTCAAGAGAGTTGTCATCTTTCACAATTTCATCTTCCTAAGTCTAGTAACTCAGGTATCTGGTAAAATGAGCAGGGAAGCTTCTACTATTTCTCTGAATGCTGAGTTTGTAAAATCAAATGGGAAATCCTGGGAATTTTCAGCAAATTTTCACCTCCAACTTGGTCTGCTGTATCTTGGTTCTCATCTCACACAAAATGTCAGCAAGTTCTAATATTGCAGTCAAACTAAAACATGCTAAAAAGCTATGTTTTTAGCACTTAGTAATATCAGGTAATGAAGAACAGTCATGCTCATTAACTTTTCATTGTGAAATGAAATTTTTATCAGTGCCATAAAAACAAGCAAACAAAACCCCAACTGTCTTCCATTACACTGACAGTTGAATTTGTTCACCGTACCTGCTAATCAGCAATTAACTTAACACCACCATAATAACTGGAATGGAATAATGGCTCCAGATGCTATGACAAAGGAAGTTTTCATCCCTTAAAAATGTATCTTTAGGAATAGCAGGAAGGAAAGGTGCCTCAGAGAAAACAAGATTCTCTGCCAACATACAAACTGAAGCAATGATGCAACAAAAAATTTATGTGAACAACAGCCCAAGTTAAAAACTAAGCAGTACTTCAGGTATTCATAACTGCCTCCCTGCTTATCAATAGAGGTGAAAAAATAGGTATAAGGACCCTGCTAGACTCTGTGAGCAAAATAAAACCTGTTTTTATGCTTAAAACATGAATAGCTCTATCTTCCATTCACTGATTTTAAATGGTAAAGGACTGCTCTTCACCTTTTCTGGTGTCTGGAATTCAGAAAGGTGCAGCAAATGCTAATAATACAGGCAAACTTCTCTGTGCTGAACAAAGGCTGTTTGCTGCTCGCTGCTCTTGTGGATTTTTAAAATACTTGTGGTGTAAACACTTCCTACAATTCTTGTATGCTTCAATCCAGTCCTCCTCTTTATCATTTCCCCTATTTCTGAATTCCCAAAACAAAAGCAGACCATGTTCCTGAACATGTTCCTCTTCTGTGTCTCAAAGTGGGGAGGGAAGAGAATTAACTGCAAAGCACCTCACCCCCAGCACCAACCTTGGAACCTGGCCACCAAGGTGTCTTCAAGGGCTTCAACTCACACATCAGCCTGAGACATACCTGCTCACTTCGACTACAATTTCATTCCCTAATTCTCGGTTGAGTTATGCACAATTTTCTTGACTAATAACAATTACTTGAAAAGAAAATATCTAGTTCTTTTCTGCTTGGTTGTATCATCTGACACTAAAAGAAATGCTGAAGAAAATTTGCCTGGACCAACATTTCATAGCATAGCAAAACTCTGCCAATTCCCACGTCCAGCATGGCAACCTCCCTGCCATTAAAGCTTGATTGCAACCTGTATATAAAAATCTACAACTATTTATTTGTACATTATTAAACATCATAAATAACTGTCATACAATTGTAAAATAAAACCCCAGTGTAACTGTTGGTGGTCCTATATGGCTGCTTTTTTGTTTTTAAGTCTTTGGGGTTTGCTAGTTGATTCACCAACTTCAGAAGCGTAAAACAGTTCTCTGAAACACAAGTCTAGATCAAGGAAGTTTTATCCCAGCACAAAAACATCTAATCCATAAAGCCAAAAGAATAAACACAATCCTTGGTCTTTTCTTGTTTAAGCTAAACAGACTGATTTATTATTTTCCTGTCACCAGTTTTTATCTCAGGTTTGAGCTAATTATTTATCCATATCTGAAAGTAATGAAAAACATATAAAAAGAACAATAGTCCAGCAAGTACAAGTCACTCAATTTACTCACCAATCAGTTTTCTTTCAACCCTTCCAGAGTCCAAACACAAGTGCACAAAAATCCTGGGTTAAGTGGCAGAACTTTTTGAATAATTACTAAAAAGGAACTCTGTCTACATAGATCACTTTCAAATGATAATTAAAAGAAAATGATAAATGAAAAAACATTAAAGAACTTACAGCACTAGACAGAGAGTCATGGGTGAAGCTGATCCCCAGAAACTGAGTTTCCAGGTTACATTTTAATTAAGAAAACATTCATATATATGTCAACATGAAACAAAACATTCCAAAATCTGGTATCTTACATATTCCACATCTAGTTTGCTAATATGCAATAGCATTATTATTATTACTTATTTAGCCTATTCCCTACTGCCTCACAAAGGCAAAACTGATTTTGGAAGTGAAAAGCTTGCATGATATGCAGAACACATACTCTACACATTCCTCCATTAACACTCTTTTAAATGAAGTTTTTTTATGCCACCAGTCAAATTCCTCAAAATTGGTGTCCCTACATACATTTCACTCCACGATATGCTCCACTTTCCTCCTCTAGTCCCATACTCTTTTGTGCCCTTTTCAAGAAAATAAAAAAATAATTAAAAAAAAGTTCAACCATCAAGTGAAAAATGTCCACAGGCATCTTACACTGATTTATTTAAAAAAAAAAAAAAACAAACAAAAAAACCATCCAAACAGTTTCTTCTTTTGGAGAACAGTTTTACATTCCTGAGAGTGAAAAACTACTGGAACAAGACTTCCTCTAAATGTTCCAGGACTTGTCAGACATTGTAATCAGGGGACTTTCCCTGTGGTTGTCGCAGTCGGATTTGTAAGGTAGAAAATGCTCCCACAGTCACATGAAAGAAGAGCTGCCACAGGTTGCGCAGTTCGTACAGATACATGTTACACAGGCAAATCAGCCCAAAGGTCAGGAAGGATTTGGCATTCCTCCAGCCCGTGTAGTATACAAACAGGTAACACTGTCAGGAAATAAAAAAGAAATCAGATTACCTCATGGCAAGTAACTTCCACTGTAGAAACACTAAGTGGTCACTGAGAAATTACTGACAAAAAGAAGGAAAACCTAAATCAAACATGTAAGAACAGTCAATTCAGCAGTCATGGAAGGGTGAAAAGTACCTGACATCAATACAAGGTTACATTTTGCTCCCATTAAACCCTTTCTGTGAACAATTCTCCCATAATAATGGATTACAGCCTACAATGACAAAACAAAGTGGATGTTTCTGGCAATCTGGTCAAAATACACTCTCAGTTCCACCCCAGCAGTGGAAAAGGAATAAGAGCCACTTCAGTCTTCTTCAGGCAAAGCAGTGGGAAAGACAGGGAAAATACCAGGCCCCTGTAGCTGGGAATGAATGCTCAGCACAAGGCAATCCCCCAGACACCTCCCAGTGCTGTGCCAGGGGTAATGCCAAGGATTAACTGGTAGATGCAGAGGTCCACAAACACCCCCTGCCCTGCTTCAGCTGCTGCAACATGGATCACATTTGGAGAGAAACACAATCCTACCACATTTTAAGGGTCCGTTTCTGCACGCTGTGGTGTGACACAGTGTCAAGACTGCCCTCAGTTCCCTGCTCTGCCTTCCTCCTACTGCAGCTAGAAATCTGTTCAAGTCTCTTGCCTCAGGTTTCATCTCACATGAGTGAGCCTAAAACATCGTATTCCATGTAAGTCCCATGTAAATATGGGACTTTACCTAATGTAAAATTAAGACCAATCTGAATTATTTAAGGCAGATGTTGATAGAAAGTCAACAAGTGGTGAGGAACACAAGTTGTACCGTGACATTTTGGTAGAGACGAGTTGTAGAGAATGGAGATGACAGGTAACCTGGACAAAAGGTTGACTGATATAGAGGCTGATATAAAAGGAAAATCCTGAGACACTATTTTATTTGGCTGCCTGACACTGTACTAAACATTGACACACACAAACAAGTAGAAATTGCATAGTCCACAAGAGAATAAAAGTCAAAATAATCATAGTAACAGCAACTGAGCATGACAGACATTATAGACATAGGTTAATGTAATAGCAGTGTCACTGAATGACAGATGCCAACAGGCACCAGAATGCCTTGATATAAATTACAGGAAAGTCAAATTCAGATGCAGAAATGGAAAACCTACAGAAACAAAAAGCAAGGGGAAGTATCAGACAGGAAAAGGAAAATATAGTGAAAAGTGGTGAAAAGCTTTGAAAAGGAAGGCAATGCATATTAATGTACAAAGTGAGGAAAATCCTGGGGTGTAGTGCCTTGGTATTGCTGTATTTACTTCTAATCTTCCCAAAGGGAAAAAGCAGTAAGGTATTTTTCAGATGGTTAAGTTTACTTGAACTATGAAACCGCTACTGCAAGGAATAATATAACCCCCACTGCTCCTGACTTTAGAGTTGAATTGTAAGCTCCAAAGTCAAAAGTAAATGCCTTAATTATCTAATTGGAGAAAAATACCAGCAAACAGAAGCAATTTTGTATCAATCTACCGTATGATAATTTATGATTAATGAAATAAAATACAGCAGACATTATTTTTTATAATTGCCCTATTCAAGGATCCCTGACATTTAAGAAAACATGATGACAATTTATGCATGACTGGGTAATGTTTCTAAACTCTAGTGAATTATGCAAACAGAAAAACACACCTGGTACAAACAGGCTGCCGTTCCAAGAAAAAATGCAATAACATAGCTGAAATCTTCACCTTCATTCTGTAGGAATAAAACAAAAAGCCATATTTTACAATGTTTCAGTTAAATACCTGATATTTGTAGTATGAAAGTTATTAATTATTGTATGTTAAAATAGGTTCACACATTGATTTATAATAATTCCTACCCTACACAAAACCAGGAGTTAAGACAAATCAGTGCTTGCTTTTATGTCTGGGAAAAAAACACCATGATCTGGAGTCTGACCAAAACATTGACTCACAGCAGACTCAAAAGCCTTAAATGAAGTCCAGGTCTAAAACTGGATACTTACCTTCTCCAGATGCCTTTGAAAATTCAAGTCTAAACACTGGTAACTAGCTTTGATATCAACTTTGTAGAATTGTGCCTTCCTCCAGCCTCCCAAAATGGAAACGAGGTAAAAGGCAAAAAACCCAAAGCGGCCACTAGGGTGGGGTAAAACTCTACACAGAGAATAACGCGGGCAGCTCACGGCAGTGACAGCAAACGGCAGCACAGGAATTTATCGGAGAGACTATTGGAAAATTAAGTTTTCTTCAAGGAAAAGATGGAAAAATTTACTCGAAGTGACAGATCTTTCTACTACCCGTTTAAAAAACCAAACGAATCCTTCTAACTTATTCAAAAGGGTTGTTATAGTTTCTATAGAGCTGAGCAGAATAAATTTACATGCTCAGTGACTATTCCAACTGCATTTCCAACAAACATCTGCAACAATCAAAAACTTTCCCAGGAAAACAAAGGGTACCCATGCAAATGTTCTTCCCTGAGAGTGAATATCATTTTGAGAAGAAGGTGGTCCATTCACAAGTACAACTTGTGTCTGCTCAGCCTATGTTCAGTGTGGAGCATTTCCATCTCCAGTGCTGACCAGGAAAAACTTTGTATATCTGCACATAAAAATCACCTACAAAATGCAGTAACTTTACGCCATGTGTCAGTCTTTGCCTCGGTGTCACTTGTGTATTTTGCTGGGGTACAGCTACAGATGGCAGCAGTTTCACTAACACCCAAACAAAAACACTGATTATAAATGAAACAGTAATTCAGAGAGATGATTTTGAATGACTTTTCAGAACACATTCAATTAATCATGCTTTGGATTATTTCTCCCTAAACTCTGTGGCTTTCTTCATCATAAAGTAAATTAAGAGAAATTTTAATGGATTTTTAGTGTGCCTCATTTGTCAGAAATGAAAATTATCTTCCATCTGTACTGCCATCTATTCCCTCCAGATGCAATAGCATATAGAATAAAATTAACTGGCTGCCCTGGCATCACTTACATAGGTTAATCTAACATTGGCATTCCTTTAAAAAAAAATCAGCCGTGGAAAGTAACAAAATAAGTTTAGAAACATCACAGTAAGTGGTAAAAATCTGTTCAGTGCTATTTGTACTACAGCATACTTTGAATTCATTCCTATTTATAAACTGAGAGAATTGTACATAACACAAAAAAATCTAATTAGTAGAGATATTTGTTCACTATTTCATTCTTGGTCTTTCTTTAAGAAAACAAACCAAAAACAACTCAAAAAGAAGGATCTAGCATGGAACATTTTCTTTAACCTTATTCATCTATCCATTAGTCTTCAGGAAATGCTGAGACCTCAAACCTTACTGCTTATTAAATCTTTACACAGACCAACAGCTATATAAGACAAGTGGAATACAGGTCATCTTCTTTACCTTACTTCCCTAAAAAAATCCATTAATTATCAGAAAATATTGGCTGGTGAAAGGCTTAGAGACCAAGACTTACGAGGGGCAGCTGATGAAACTGGGAGGTTTTTAGCTGGGAGAAAAGGAGGCTCAGGAGAGAACTTATCACTCTCTGCAACTACCTGACCCGAGGCTGTAGCAAGGTGAGTGTCAGTCTCTTCTCTCAGGTAACAAGGGACAGGATGAGAGGAAATGGCCTCAAGTTGCACCAGGGGAGGGTTAGATATTTGAAAACCTTCTTCACTGAAAGGGCTGTCAAGCACTGGAACAGGCTGCCCAGGGAAGTGGTTGAATCACCACTCCTGGAGGAATTTAAAAGTTGTGTAGATGTGGCACTCTGGGACATGGTTTAGTGGTGAACTTGGCAGTGCTGGGTTAATGGCTGGACTCGGCTCTTTTCCAGGCTAAATGACTCTATGATTCTATAAAGTCTATAAAGGTATATGTTTGAATAAAAGGATTATCTATTAGCCAAGCTAGAAGATTACCATTTTCTTTCAGAAAAATTCCACAGGCTTTTTAGTTTCCATGTCTACCACCACAAGAGATCCATTAAATGGCAAGGAAGTCCTTTTTGTTGTGGTAACACACATGAACTTCGTGTGCATGCCTGCAAGCACTACCAGCATATTTCACCTGAATTGCCTAAAATCGTAACCCACTCTTAGTGACATTGTAGCAGTGAGAATACAAACAGCAGAAGGAATGGAATAGAAAGAAACTAAAAGGCTACAGGGAAGGTCAGAGAGTTTACAGAAAAAAATGTTTTTAGGGGAGGTTGTTTGGTGAGGGGGATGTTGTTGTTTAAGGAGGTGAGGGGAGTTTAGAAGAAATCACTTGAAAGTTTTCCCTGACATTGATCCTTTCAGCATACAAAGAGAAATAAGCATCCTACCACTAAGAAGGTGTGTTAAATACAAACAAAACAAAACAAAAGTTTACAAAAAAATTTTTACAAAACCTGTTTAAAGATGCATGCTCTGTGGACTTTAAAAAAAAGAAAAACTGGCCAGATTTTCAAAGCTGTTCATCATTTCACTGAAATGCTTTTAAATAGCATCTATAGAAATTAAACGCCTCATACCCTGGCATAAATTTAGAAAACAGAACATTATGTTCACATACTCACTGCTACCAAGGTACCAGGGAAGAAGTTGGCCACCCACTTTCTACTGCTGTCGAAACTCACAGCCTCAATGAATGAGGCATCACACTCAGAAAGGATGCTCTGGTCACAGACAATACAGGTTTCATGAACAGAGGCCTGACCTCACAAACAGTATTTCTGACAATAAAACTGGCGAGACTCAGTTCACATAGCATCTTCTAAGGTGATAATTATGATTGCTGTGGTGCATAACTTTTAAACTCACAAAATGTACAATACCTGGAGAAGGCTTTCAATGGCATGAAAGCCACGAATTAAATTCAAAGCTCCACATAACAGACTAAGCACGAATGAGACAATCCCTGGCAGAGTCACAGGTTCCAGGCGCTGATGAGGAGCTGCAAAACAGAAGATCAAAAAAAGATAACGAAGGTCAAAGCAATGCCTTTAGAAATACAGTAAAAGAGTGATCTCATTTTTCTGTGGCTTCTAGCTCAAGAGATCCACAAAAGAGATCTAGCTCAATGCAAACCACAAAATGTCATTTTTTTTTCCAAAAAGAAGAAGAAACATTTTAAATATTTCGGCACAAGGTTTAACAAAAAGTAAACTTTCCTTCAGTTCACATATATAATTGTTGTGCTATATTTAGTCTTTATTTCAATGCATTCCATTTATCCAGTATGGTACTGACAGCTGCTCAAACACGCCAGGAAACCAACAGTAAAAGATGCACTTGCTAGTGAAATCCGTCCACAATTAGTAACCAGCTAATAAGTCACGTACTTAAGAGCTTCTCTCGCAGCCTGCACTCTTTAACATTCTTTAACACAAATACATTAGTGAGATAATGAGACTGATTTAGCTTGTTTGCTGAACAGAACACTTTGAGGCAAAGCTATCACAGTCCCCCTCCTTAAAAAATACAGCCAACCAAGTGCTACCAAAGACATAAAAAGACAGCTCTGAAACTAAACCAGTATCTATATCACGACCTTATACAGACCTTCCAGATAGTGCTTAGAAGTCTCTTATAAACCACATTAAAATTAAACAGCCCTTCTTTCCAAACACAACCACTCCTTCAGGCTTATCTAAGGTCACAAGTATGTAACAGTTGTGTATGTTCCTCATTACTGTCCCTTTCCCTTTTTCATAATTAATAACAGAAAGCAAATGTGAAAAAAACAATGCAAAACTCTTAACAGTCTGGGTGACACTGGGAAAACAATGTGACTACTGAGCCGTACTCAAATCATTCTGTTCAAATCAACCAAGTGTAAAGATGTGAACAATGAGGTTAATGAACTGTAACATTAATAGAGAGAGGGGTGTCAATCCCAGTTGTTTGCATTGCACAGACTCAGGAAAAAGGTTTTTCAAACAGTTTTTGAAGTTACAGAACCTAAAGAAAAAAACAACAAAAGCTATTTCACACTGATAAGCAGGCAGGGCTGTCTAATTATGAGTGTATGATAACACAAAAATAAAACACAGGACGAGTTCAGTTAATTCATTTGTGCTGAATTTAATAGTGTAATCAGCTGGGTTTTTTTTTAAACAAAAGCATAACCCATGTTTAACTTTGAGAGCTCATTGCTCTTCTAACTGTAGGGCACATTACTCCCAGCAATCACTCAGTTAGGGTTAGATATGCTATTTGCATACCAAACCACTCTTTTTCAATGACTCCTAACTGGTTGTTTTGTTTTGGCTTTTTTAAACCATCTCATCTAGAGAGTGGCAAGAAACTGAGGGTGTATGTGACTGTTTTTAGCCAAAACTAATTCCATTTCACTAACTGATGGATAAAATTAGTTCACTGCTCTCCACTCACAGTTCTCCAGACAACCTCATTTTCCCCTTGTCCTGCGTAACTTAAAATCATTGTGTGTTAAAACAGCATTTAAAACACCTCTTTGAGAACCATAGGGGGAAAGAAGAGTCTCATCAACTAAATCAAGATGGTCTGTGAGGGATCATATAGTACTAATTTTTCTCTCTTATTAAAATACAAAAGCAAATCCAAAAACTTGAAGGACATTGCATACCACTACCGATGTCAATTAACTCTCCAGGGCTTAACGGACTTTAGTGCTACAATCTAAGCAACAAGAGTCATTTATACACTAAAAGATGAAGGCAAAACCAAAAGAATGAAAAAGGGACGTCAGAGAATGCAGGGTAAAGGCCAGCTGAATTTTAGCTGGTACATCAATCAATCTTAGAAATATGATAAGTACCATATCAAAAATCCTCAACTGAAATAAAGCACAAATTTTGAATTTAATGCTGACATTTAAATAAAAATTCAGAAAATTGACACAATATGAGAAACTGCACTACTTGTAAGGATGTTTATTTAAAACTAAAATGTCAAAAACCCCCAAAACTTGGAGCATACAATCAGGCAAAAAATAATTTCAATTTGACAACTGTTCCTTCATTGAAATAAAGCTCAAATAATAAATTTATCCTAACCTAAAACATCACACATCAGCATGCTGTCACCCTATTTCTAATGCCTGCCAACACCTACATTCACCTCTGAAGCAAAATTCCATCTATAATCTAAGCACTTTATGCTTCACACATCCATAATTACCCCTATTTCTCACTACACAGCGCAACTTTCTCTTAAGGAAAAGTGCTCCTATTTTCAATTACTTTCCCAACACAGGAGGCCTGGGCACTACACTGTGGCTACGGGAGCAATTACAGTCCAAGTAACAGTCAGCGCTTCCCCAGCATGGCCAAAATTAATGCATCCAACTCTGCCCTGCTGCGTAACAAAACAAGGTTAGCCTGCACCCAGCTCCCCACCTCTGCACGCTCTCCAGCCTGATTTAACATACTTGATGCACTTATAGCAAGTCCTACTTTTTAACAGGACAGCATATTCAGGAAATTACACTAGGCAAACCATATCTTTTTGTGAGAATTTGTCCTTAGAGCAAAGGAGAAACTTTGAAGTCTAGCCAACTGAGTGGGCAGCAAACATCCAGAGAAAGTTCTTTTCAATGGTGGAGGGAAGTGATGAATGTAAAGGATTACAAAACTATTAGCAGACTCGCTAAAACAGACACTGTTATTCAATGCCATCTAAAATGTGAGGAGCTGAAGAAGGAGCAAAGTGCAAACTTCTCATAAGGTACAGCTCTTTGATGGTGAGTTTCTACAGTAACTCAAGGAAGGAAGTGGAAAACTGAACAGAGATCTGTGGAATTCACAGGAAGAAGAAAGTTTAAAGTAACTCAAAGAGAAACAGAAGAAAATCAATATGGAAAGAAGAGAGGACAACAGAACTGCTTCTGTAAGAAGTTTGGGAGAGGTAGGTGAAAAAAATTAGAAGGTCATCTGCCAATTACTGTTGAATCTTCCTTTATAGTAAAAAGGGAAATGGTCCCTATGCATTTTAACTTAGGCCCATATGATCTTCCAGCACTTTCACTCAAAAAAGCGATAAAAAACTCATCTCCCACTACATGTACAACTTCTAAAAAAACATCCAATTCTGACATAGGTCAAGTTCTCTCATGCTTATTGCTTTTTCTTCTCCCAATTGCAGGAAGTTCGAATCTGGACAACCAGTTGCCACTTCTGCCACCATAATCCACAGGGCAGGATTACACCAGAACAGTAAAAGTAAACAACAGTAAGTGGTAGAAGGATGGTATCACGGCATTATACCTTTAAAAACAACCCACACGTGTAAGTAGGAGATGATTAAAGGTCTGCACAGTACTGCTTAGAAGATTTCACTCTTTTATACACTTCAAACATCTTTGCACTTTTTCTTTATTCCTTTTCCAGAATCTAACTCTAATACTGTTAAATTGCAAATACAAAGATTGTAAACTATTTCTACACTGTCTCATAGCACCTGGAATTCTCAGAATCGGGGCCCCAGAGTGCCCCAGTGATTTTGTTTGGGTTTCACTTCAGTAGAAAGCGGTGTTCAATCTTCTAGAGTAATCCTTACGAGTAAGTACGTAATAAGGATAATGCACTGGCCAAGAGATCCTATTAACACATATATATATATATATATAAACTGCACAAAATTAAGCTAATCTCTTTTATTACAAAACTGTAGGAAGTATTTAGATTTATGATTGCAATCCTAGGATTTATGATTGCAGCCTGACCCTGTAAAACGTCAGGCAGAATATGCCTGCCCAGGATAACTTACAGACAGATGGACTTGGGGGGGAAAAAAAAGGGAAAGATATTAACTAATTAAAATCAACACTTCCATTCTATTTATGATTTTGCTTCACTAAACTTGGAAGACTGAAATCAGATGATGTCAGCTTCACATGTGGAGTTCACATATTAGTGCAAGGATTTGGCAAGTATTTAAGTTTCTGTCCTGCTGAGAAACATATGAAGGTGGGCCTCAAACTCTCTTAACAGCACAAACCTTTAACCCAGGTCAACCACACAATTCCATATTTACCTCCAACATGAAGCAAATTAAAGTTTTAAAAAATTAACGACTACTTAAATGAATGTGTCAATTTTATACAAAATTGCAATTCTTAACACTGCACACAAGGCACTCATTTTAGCAAATGCATCTTTTAGCCAGCACAGCTCTTTGGATTTTCACCATGGCAGATGCTTCCTAAAGTGATGCTCCTCCCTCCAGCTGCTCTAACTCCTGACACTGTGCTCTCAGCTTATGTAATCACTAAGTCTTACTGGGAAGAAATAATAAAAATTTTCACAAATCTTGAAAGGTCAGAAAAAGAAAGATCATCTTCTTGTTAAGTGCCCATCTTCATTTGCAGTATTTTTTTCCCTTCAATATAGCAGTCCATTGAACAGATCCATTTCTCCCTCTGAGTGCCTTGGGAAGATGTGCACTTTGAGCAGGGGACAAAACAGACATCTAAGCTAAAATGCACATAAGGTCATGGCAGCTTTATGCTTCAGAGCCATGAAAAAGCTTTTTTTTTAAAGAAAAAAACAAAAAAAAAAAACCAAAAAAACCAAAAATGAATTCTACTACTCTGTCTCATTTAAGGATACAAAACCAGAAGTCTGGAACTTACCTGCAGATATCTTACCAGTACCCTTATACTCCCCCACAGATATATGTGCAAAGCCATTCGCTGAGCCAAGTTCTGACACAGAAATTTGGTAGGGTGGTCTCAGTTTGATCTCTGTCTGCATGTCAGCAAGATTCATCTTTGTTGACAAAGAACGTGTGTTGTTGTATCTCTGTTTGGTCCTCTGAATGAAATTATCTGTGTAAAATTTAAAATAAAAAGGTATATTTTTATGGACTTTTGTTAGTTAAATAATTCAAGATCATGCAGCTCTATGTACTACACACTTCACAAATTGAAACATATTCTTTGAAATATTTGCATTTATCTTGAATTTTTAACACTATTTCTGTTTTGTGCCTAATACATCAAGGGATATTTAATTCTGCAGTTAAAAAAAATCTAAGCTCTAGAAATCTAATTACTTAGTAACTATGAATAAACTAATGACTTTTCACTGCATGAGACTGAATGCATTTCTAATACAATGGGTTTACTGCATTTATTCCAGCTTTTCTGTTAGTTTAGTAAATATCCTTATGAAAAAATTAACTCCTGCATTCAAGTGTGAATGTACTTGAGTATGAAACGTGCTTGTAAAATATTCAGAAGGAAATAAATATATATTTAAGCTGTAACAGACTTAAATTCTAACTTAACAACTAGTAGAACAAAGGTGTTGGGGGGAAAAAAAGTGGTCATAGAAATTTTCACAAGAAGACAATAATGTTATACAGAAATTGTTAATAACTGACTGACTGAATTATAGACAGGAATTAACCAACCAGAATATCTGCCCCTGTATTTCTCAAACTGCTGTTCTTTTTGCTCTAATGTGTTTTATAAAAATATCTAAAATAACTGCCTAATATATAGCATTAAAGCAATATAAATTAATGGAATTTGTAACAACTGTTATCTGGTATATATGAGATGAGCTGCATTTGGAGTTTTCATGACAGAAGATTAAATGCTTCACTACATCGTAAGATAAATAAAAATGTCTCCCTTTCATGTACTGAACAAAAGTTACAGCACAGCTAAGAGTAAGCTCCATGACTTCATAGGTTAAGTATTTCAACAGGTATGAAGTCAAACAACTCCTAGTATTATTAACTAGGAGAAGATAAACTCCAGAGTTGGTCACACAAGGCTCAAATCAAAACTTACTGGAATGAACAGAAAGATTACAAAGAAGTTTCGATAAAACTCTAGTAAGCCTAATTTAATGCTTTTTTAAATATAGAAGCATTTCTTCGTTGCTTCTAACAGGAGTTAATTCAGATTCTAAATCTGCCTAAAATACAGCTATAAACTGCCTTGGACATTTTTGTTTTATGTGCATTAAGTTGCACATCTATTTAAATACTCATTTGTCTCAGTGTGAGAATAAAGGGGAAAAAAAAGTCAGATCCTTACCAAACTCTATAAAACAGTATGGTCTGATTGCAGTATTTGTCTTCATCATATTGTAGGTAGTGATGAACTCTTTCTGAAGCTCATCCAGGAAGCAGAAAGCCAGGACACTGGGATAATTTTCAGTGCACAACATCATATAGCTTACTCCCAGGGAACTTATAAAGCTAGAATTGAGAAAACATATTTCAAATCCAGTGAATTAGCTGCTTTTCTAGTCTGATCTCATATTCTACAGAAAAATCAGAAAAACAAAACTTTATCTGGGGTAGCAAAGGAATTAATGTTTGAAATAACTGAATGTTTGAATAACTAATGTTTGAATAACTGAAAACTCCAACACTACTCTGGAAGAAAAACAATTTACTTTTAGGTTATGTTTTACTTTGACACCACATTGTACAATCATATGAGAAGCTGTATTACACATATATGTGTGTGCATACATATATACACACATCCATGAAACAGAAAACAACAAAGCTTTTGGGATACAGAAACACAGCAAGTTTGTCTTGTAATAGCTTTTCACCCATCTCGGTTTTCAATATACATATTCCCTGCTGCATTTAGGCAATTCATTAGAGCTCAGGTTTTCATGACACATTCAAATTTCTTCTAGGTCTTGACATATAACTTACACTATTACAAGTAATCAAAGACAGAAACAATAAAAACTATCCTGACTAAGCCTTATATCTCATTCTTAGAAGTTTCTTTTAAGCTAATCAGTTCACAAGCCAACTACAGCTGAGGTCTTTAAAAAAAAAAATTGACTGGAACAATTTAGTCCATCCTGGGCCTAATCCCAAGAAAAGCTGGAAACTCACATATCCCAGTGGGAGAAGGAGAGGCATGAGCACCTTCTAGGATCACTCATGTGGTATACTTTCCACCACTGTAACTTTCACATGGTTACTAGGTCTTAGGATGAAATTACTCACTTGATTAAAAGTAGTAGATCTAATCAGAATCAGAATTTAGCTCAGCTAAAGTGCAAGTGAACTACCAACTACACACAGGTGCACTTTGTTACCAACACTAAGGAGAAGGATCACATACAAAGCAAAATTCTGAGTAAACAACAGATTCAAAGAATTATTTCACCATAATCCAAGTTTCACACTGTGAAATAATTATTGAGTTATGCTTGGTTTTCAGCACATGTTTCTCTGAATCCAACAGAAAGCCTGAAGGTACAACAAAAGGGTCTAATGTAAACATCCTAACGAGATATTATGGAACTACTGGTTATGAAAGTATTTGGCAGCTTTTAAAAGTCATAGACTGAAAAAAGAAAAGAAAGGAGTACTAGTTGAAGTAGCAGGACCACAAAAAGTCTGGTCATTTTCATGCAAGAATCAACCTTGAAATTAAAAGAAATATTTATACTAGGTAAAGGACTTCAATACTTATAAAAATACTGTCTTTTTCAAACTAGACTCATAGAATGGTTTGTTTGGAAGGGATCCTAAAGATTCAGTTCCAACCTCCACTAGACCATGTTGCTTAAAGCCCCATCCAGCCTGGCCTTGAACACTTCTAGGGATGGAGCATCCACAGCTTCTCAGGGCAACCTGTGCCACACCTTACCATCCTTGCAATAAAGAAATTCCCCCTAATATCTAATCCAAACCTGCCCTCTTTCAGTTTAAAGCCACTCTCCCTTGTCCTATCACTACATGACTTTGCAAAAGAACTTCCACCAACATTTGAGTAGGTTTCTCAAATTTAAATTTATCAATTTTAAATTTCTGATACATTAATACTGCCAATAATTAATCTTAATTTGATTAAGCATTTCCAAGGTGAACTGTTAATTTTTTAACTGACAGACACAACACAGGATGTTGCAAATACATAAAAGAGAAGCCTTACTTTATGTTATACTGTCCAGTTTTCAGAGTACACCTATCAGGAAGCTGAGAAAGTTTCTTTGCGAGCATTTTAAAATATTTTCTACATTCTTGCATTCCCGTGCTCTGCTCATAATCAGTGGATGCAGACAGTGGGAGCCCATCCCTCACACGGACCACAGAGGCAGACAAGATCATAGACATTGCCAACAGAGTTAACGACAACCTACAACAAAACACAGATCAGGAGCAATCAGAATTAAGGTAAAAGCAGAAACAATGGAGTCAACTGTGATTAATCAGAATTCTCAAGCTGTGTACTGGGTTCAGGCTTCAAACAGGACATAGTGAGGATTTTCAACTACAACTTAGAGTCCTAACTGAACAGGACCTATTAGTCTACATGAACCACAAAGCAGTTCTTCAAACCTTATATTAAATCAAAACATTGGAAAGTTCAGCATGACAAGCATTAAAGGAAGGATTATTTATCTGCTAAGTATCAGTACACAAGTGGGCGAACTGCTAGAATTTATATGAAGCCAAAAGCAAACACTTCCTCAGCTCTTAACACTGCTCTGCAGACTCCTACCATGTACTGCACCTATCACTTCAGAGACTATGAAAAAATATTTTTGCCTCCCTCAGATGATGGTACCCAAGATCCATACAGTCACAAACTGCAAAAGGAAACAGATTTCTGAATACAGCTGAAATATGCTTTTGTGTGCAATACTGACATGTTTACAGCACCTTTCAAACTATGACGTTAAGGGTGCTTTACAAGCCTCAGTGACTGAAGGACTGTATTCTCAAAAGTCAGGAATCCAAATTTTCCCCAAATAACACTCCCTCTTCATAAAAGAGAGGAAACAGCTATTTTTTCCCTGAACTCTCACCATCTCTATTTCCCACTACCCAAAGGTTAAGTAGGACACTTAATGAAAAATCAACAATATTCAGGTTTTTCAAGGTTATTTACTCTTCAGAGAGAAAGAGGCATATAATAATGAAAGCACTGAAAATGTGTTGTCATTTTCAGTTTAAGAAATTCAGCTTCATCAGCTTCATCAACTTCAACCTCCTTTGAGATGCATCACATTAGCTGAATCCAAATTAATACCCTCTTATTTTACTTGAACAGCATATCAGACTTTCCCCGAAGTCATAAAAGCAGTGGAAGCCGCTGTTGTCTGTTGTCTGCTGAATACCTCTGGGTTTTTATCAGGTGCACTTGTTATTTCAGCACTTCACAAGAGAATTCCCTCCTGTACCAAGTTCTTTGATCATCTGGACACAAAAACAAAAAACAACTACAACTTCAGGACTTGCTCTAGATCAGCCTGCTGGGTATAAAGCAGGCAAGAAGCTAAACTCGCAGTTCTAGAAACTTTTCACTATCTCTTGAGTTCATGCACATACTCCCAGAAGGACAATTCACATGGAATGCACACAGACCCATTTTCTTAGCTATGCTGCTCCCCATATAAGCAAGGCAGCAGCTCAAGAGCATGACAAAATTGCAGAGGAGCTTTAAACTGTAATGGTTCTCTGACAATAACCATCTCTACCACTTGGAACTCAATCCTAACAGGGACTTCTGGGAGCTATATCAATATACACAAAAGAACAACAATGTGATAGCCAAGTTTAAATACCCCCTCATTAACTTACTTGCACAAAATGTAATTTCATGGATCTGCATTTCCTCTGATGAAACAAATAACTTTGTTAGCACCTAACGTGAAGAAAGAAACAAAGCTCCATGTCCTGTTTCAGGAAAAGGTAGTGAATATGACTGCACTGCAGGAGAAACTCTGAATCCTGTAGCCAGCTCTCAGAAGAAAAAATACCGTTCTGTTCACTTTTGAAATGATCTCGACGGTTAAAGTTCATGTTGAGCTATCTGATGAGATAAGAACAAAAAGAAAAAGTTAATAAATGCATTTACCAGCTAACAACATTCTTCAGCTTTTTGTGAGGACACACTTATTGGAAATGCCTGAACATACCCAAGGGAAGTTACTCGCAACGTACTCAAAGAAAAAGAAAACTAGAATAATAGAGATATTAAAATGTTTCTGCGTTCTTTAAGTGAAGCTCAGGAAGTCCCATCGCTTCAGCCATTTAAAATGGGAAAACATTGTCTGCACAGTACACAAGTAACTCAGGGTAACACAACCTTTGACTCTGATCCCACCACTCACCTCATACTCTATGTTTAATTATTCTATAATATCCTCTGATCAGGACACTTTGGGAACATAACACAACACAACACAACCACAGCTGTATTTCCAAAGCCTTAAGATTTTCAATATTCCATCTCACCATAGTTGTTTTGCTCCTATAACTCCTAAGGACAAAGAACATAAATACCACTAACCACAACATGTATGCACAGACAACGGACAAAGGATAAAGACATCTTGAGAGGTATTATTTCAATTTTTATGTCTATTCTGTATGTAAATAAATATTTGCATAAATCTAGAACAAAACTGTCTTGAAGACTCCTATTTACATTTAGAGAAATTAGGCTCTCTAACAGGAGATAAGCCTCCACTGAAACCTTAATATATTCTCTTATATACTACAAAATCACATAAGGTAAAAATTGTGTTTAGATGAACGATCTTCAGAACACCAGTCAGCCAGGTTTTGTTACCATCATCTTAAAAACCCACCCTGTGAAAATATGTACTTTTTCCTCAGCTTCCTAACAGCAAAATCAGAAAACTAGCTAAAAAATGATGCCAATAAAAGAAAATCACTTTGGTTGCAAGATCACACATATGTCAAGAGATGTATAATACACATACTGTAACAGAACATTCAGCCTTACTTGAAAATGTGTTAACATAAGAAAAAAGTTTACTAAATCTTCACAATGAAAGAGCTGCTTTACCCAGCTCTCAAAACAGCACAGCTTTACAGTAGGAGTCGTGTGGTAAATTTGATATAGACTTACATAGGCAGAGATTGAAGAATGAACATTAAGGATACGGTAGTGCTTTCGGAACTGCCTTTAAATGTCTTTTTTAAACATTATTCAAAACTGCATGAAGTAATTCACCAAATTATTACAAATTTCATACGTTTTCGTTCAAAAATTCTGTATGCCTCAACCACCTGAAGATGACAGAAGACTGCATTTCCACTACAAATGGTCTATAAACCTCTTACAGGTGCAGGGAAATGAACAGGGATCAGGTTCACTGTCTCATTCCACGACAGAACTGAAGACTACCAAATCCAACCAGCAGGTGTTTGGCTCACAGGTACCATGGGGTGTTCTTCACAAAACGTCACCAACCTTGTCACAAGCTGTCGTCAATGCTACAATGTCATATGGATTCAAGAGGCAACTGGAAAAATCCACAGAAAAACTGCCAGGGTTATTAAAACCAAACCACTGTCCTTTGTTCAGCATGATTCTGACCCCAAAACGATCACCAACAGCAAGAGTACACCATGGAAGCACCACTCCATGCTTGCACTGTTCTTATGTTTCCCCTAGTTAGCATCCAATTCTGCCTCATCTTTATTGATTTCCCCTTACACTCCCTCACAGCCCTCCCTGCAAACAAGGACTGGAAGAACTCATGGAAAAGAGGAACATGGAGAAAGCTGGCCATAGACAGGTAAAAGTCAGCTGAATGGCCATTCCTCCTTCCTCCATAGCCTCCACCTTCCCAAGAGCTGTCCAATTCCTCACACACGTCAGCATTCACTGAGTTCACAGATAGGAATTAGCACATGTCTGGTTTCATTTTCTCCCATGCACAGGAAACCTCAGATGATGGAAACCAGAGCCTGTTTCACTGTACTTTTTTTTTTCAAGACATACTCAATTATATCTTGTTTATTTCTGTGTTATGATCGTACTCAATCCTAAGGCAACATTTGGAAAAGTCCTAGAAAGTGGCATATGTTCTAGTCTTTTGTAACAAATTGGTCATCCTGTTTGTGATCTGACAGTAATTATTTTAGACCTATCTGCCAATATCTCACAATATTTTTTAGAGGGGCTTGAAAGTGGCCTGTGACTATGGTTTGCTCAGGATACTCCCATTTTTTAAGAAGTCTAGCTTCCCAAAAATTGTAAACACATCTAGTGTAACAGGAAGCCTACCCTCCTGCACCTGCCAGCCTTCAGTACCAACTTAATCATGGCATTTCTTGACAGGATGTCTGCCTCTCATGACAGCCTTCCATAAAACATAAAACTGGGAAGTGGGTGCAAGCTGCACTCCTGCTTGACACAGAGTGAAGATACAGCTTCTGTGCTTGCTTCAAGTGTATGTAATAGTGTCAGACAATCTTTTCCCCCAGTTCTGAGGGTTGTGACAGCTGCATTATGCAGGCAGGAGCCTTAATTCTTCCACCCTACAGCACACTTCAGAAATCCGCGTAACAAAGTAAAGCCCTACAGAACACAACAAATAAAGCCACTTTGACATTGTCAGGTACATTCAGACAAGGAAATAATCCTAAACTACTAACCCACATAATCCTTCCCATAAAGCAGAGGAGAAAGAGACCTCAGAAGCAGAACCACGATCACAGAGTCAATTATTTTGGAAAAGATCATCGAGTCCAACCTATGACCCAACACCACCGTGTCAACTAAAACTAAGCGCCACGTCCAGTCTTTCCTCAAACACTTCCAGGGACGGTGACTCCGCCACCTCCCTGGGCGCTATGGCCAATGTCTAATCACCCTTTCTGTGAATAAATTCTTCCGGATGTCCAAACAATCCTGACAAACTAAGGGAACGGAACAAGCCGCATCCTAAAGTTTGAGAGCCTCATCCTCTCACCTACCACCTACTTACGTGGCAGCTCCGACACGACCATTCGCACCCTTTGCCGCCGCCGCAGACGCACTGACTCAGCGGTCGGTGCCTCACACGGGTCCGCACCGCGAAACTTTTAACACAACCTGCCTGCGAGCCCGGAGCGCGGCCCCCAGCCGCCCCGGCTCTCGATTGCCCAGCGGCGCCCGCGAAGAGCCAGCCGAACGGCCCCCGGCTCCTCCTGCGCCCGGCCCTGCCGCCGCCACCACCAACCCCTCCGTGACAGCGGCGCCGCGATCCCCCGCGGCTGAGTGCGCGACGGCTCAGCTGCCCTGAGGCTGCGGCACAGCTGGGCTGGGGCCGGGCAGCGGCGGGCTAGGGCGGGCAGGCGGGAGGGGAGGCGGCGGCGTTGAAGCCGGCCGCGGCGGGCCGTGGGGCAGTGCCGCCCCGTGTCCCGCGGTGCCGCCCCCGCCCCTCACGCGCGCGAGGGGCGCCGAGCGCGTACCTGGGCACGGCGGCGCGGCCGCCTCCGCCGGGCATTGTGGGAACGGACACGTCCCGGCGCGCGCCCCGCCGGCCGGCACAGCGACCCGCCGGGGCGCCCGCCATGGCGGGCGGTCCAGGGGCGGGGAGGGGCGGGACCGCGCCTGTGAGGGGGCTCTGCGGGCGGGCCGCCGTGAGGCCATGCGGCGAGGGGGGCTGCTTCGTTTATCGCAGGATCGTAAGGTTGGAAAAGGCCTTTTGAGATCGTCGACTCCAGCCTGTGACTGAACACCACCAAGCACCAAATGACACGCCCAGTTTTGCCTTAAACACTTCCAGGGACAGAGACTCCCGACACCTCCCCGGGCAGGCCATTCCAATGTCTAATCACCCCTTTCTGTGGAGAAATTCCTCCTCACGTCCAATCTAAACCTCCCCTGGGGCAGTTCAAGTCTTCTTATCCTGTCGCTGGTTATCCGTGAGAAGAAGCCAACACGCACCTGGGTGCAGCCTCCTCTCGGGTACTTGTGGAGAGCGACAAGGTCACCCCTGAGCCTCCTCCCCTCCCCGATAATAACTTATGAAGACTGCGGCTGGCAGGTTTCCACCAGGTTTGATGGACTCGCACAGCCCTTGGCATACGCCTGGCACTGTGTGAATGACCAGAGGTGTGCGTGGCATTCTCTGACAGGGACGCCGGAGCGTGTGTGATGGGGATGTGGTAGGAAAAGTGCACTGAGACAAGACCAGCTGCTACACTAATTTCTCTCATTTCCAGACAAGTCAACTGGGCATGTTTCAACAACAAATGATAATACAAAAGCGAAAGTTTGCAAATCTCATTACTAATCCTAAAGTTAGGTTCCTATTTTAAACTACTTTCATTACTGATACAAGGATAATTTTTTCCCTGGGCCGCTCTTTGACTTCTCTGTTTTCCTACCAAATCACACAGTTTTAGTCTGTTGGCTCAAATCTCAAATGAAAGCAGCTTATTTCCTTGCTAACGCCTTTTAATTTCTCCTTCCATCTGTTACTATTTCACTATCCAAGTGCTTGCAGCATTGCAGAGTGTTGGGGTAGAGGTAATACACCTTACACTGTGGGTTTTCAGGCTCTGCTGAGCTCCACTCAGGAGCAGGCTGGTCAGGAAGATGGCACTGAAACTCATTAACACACTCCAACCTCAACTCTGCCTTCTCCAGGCAGCATAAGCCATTTTAAGTGGACACCTGTGGTAACCCCGGATACCAGTGGGGCATCACCTGACTCCCCAATCCCTGAGATAGTGTATGTGAATGCCAGCGATTCCGGTATGGTAAAATGATCTCTTAGATCTTACCAGGTCTTAATTGCTATTGCTGGAGATTTGTTTCACCCTTTCAGCCTCCAGGCTTTCTCCTCCATGCTCCAAGCAAAGCTCAGCCAAGCTGAGATCTCAAGCTCTCTGTGTCAAACAAGGCTGCAGCAAGGGGTACAAGGTTAACTGTGGCTCTGGAGCTGAGTATCAGAGCGGGAGGGAAGACTAGCAAAAAGACAAAAATTTTTTTTAGAGGAGAATTGAGACAAGGTAATGTTGAGGCAGGGGGTCATGGAGATGTGGGAGAGGAAGACAGGTGCAGGAGAGGTCACCTGCAGGTGCTTGGTAAGGTAGTTTTTCTCTGAACATAAAAGCTCAAGGAATGTCCTGGAGACCATGGGAGAAGACCCTTTTCTGAGCTTCCTTCTTGCACTGAAGGCTGGTTGCTGGGAAGAACTGCCAAGGATGTGCACCTCGAACGAGTCTTGCTAAAGCAAGGGACGGAGGATTTGTGTGTCTGAATATACAGCTTGGCATCTCCAAGTTTGTATCTTGGCCTGTCAGGAAGAAACTGTGCTCCCATGTCAGGCTTCTGTAGAGCAGAGCATGGGAACATCTCAATCCTGACCGACTAGGCACAATTGAAGCACACATTTCAGAAGATGATACATTAATCTGAATAATTTCCACAGAGTCCTTATCCTGTATAAACAGAGTGCACAGTATTACAAGCTGCTACACAATTTAACAGCTTATGATAACATCTACTATAATGCAGAGAACTAGTGATTACTTAATTAGAGGCTGTCTAAAGGTTTGTGATAAGTGCATACGTGTGTAATTTTAATTTTTCTAGTTCTTCTGAACTGTTTATCTTTCAACCCTAAAATTCTCTCGACCTTTTGTAAATGTTTTAAGGAAAAAAAGATAAGCATTTTGCATTTAAATAAACAGGACTTCAAGAATTGTATATACATCTATTAGTTCAGACTTATATATTCCTAGGGGAAGGAAACACATTATTCTTTATTTTCAGGTGAACCTGGCCCCAAGAGGCTAAATAAATCACACAAGGTCACCGAGGGAGGTAGTGGCAGAGTCAGAAGTGGGGTTACAGCTCCAACGCTCCTAGCTTTCACGGTGAACTTAAATTATACCTCTTGTTCAAGAATTTGCATGTCTAACAAGCCAGTTACACTTTAAATTGCTTTTTTTCCTTGTCCCATTCACTCCCCTAAGACATGGAAGCAGTAAAACATTGTCAGAGGGGCACCGTGCAGTGAATGCATTAGTGAAAGCTGCAGCCAGAGTTAAAACTGAGATAAGAAGCAAATACAGTCAGTGCAAAGAGAAAACAAAGGAGAGCAATGTAAGTGTTACAGAAGGAGAAGAGCCGAGGAAATGAATGTGAGTACAAGGCAGGGTATGGAGAGTGTCAGAGGCTGAAGAGAGAGCTGGATGGGAAGGACTGGTGACAAAGGAGTCCCCATGGTGCCAAACGCCTCAGAGGTGACAGCGAGGTGCATCTCCATGAGCACAGCAAAATAATGAAGCCAGGCAGTTGCTTAGTGTGTCATCAGCCAGCTGAAGGCAAAACCCAACAGTGAATGCTCAGAGAAGAGTTAGGACGGGACTTATCTCACCAAAGTTCAGTGATCTGGAAATTGCCCTCTGCGAAGAAGCTCTTTGTTGCTATTTCTCCTCTGTCACTGCAGGGGACAGACATGTCCAGCCACATGTATACACCTTGGGTTTAGATGACTAAAGGTAGGGAAGACAAACCCTTAGGCCCTGTCCACTGGATTTAAACATGACTTTTAAATCAGGTTTCCCCAAGGAAAAATATCCAGCCTGAGGAGCTGGCAGTAGTTGTGCTCATCAGTGATGGAGTCAGAGGAGCAACACAGAAGTAAAATTTCTGAAAGGACACACAGAAGGTCAGAAATTGGACTTCAGGGGTTTTATCAGCAAATTAAACTTTGGAATGTATCAGAGTGCTGATCCACTTTGTAACCTGTTTTTAGAAGGGAAAATAAAAGCCCAATTTAGACTAATTAAACCCAAGCCCTTTCATATACAAAAAAAAACCCAAACCAAAACCGTAAACCTCCCCTTCTGTTTACTAGACATCTTTCTACTTCTATTGCTCCTTTTTCTGAACCTTTTTTTTCTTATAGCTTTCTTAAAATTTGATGCTTGAAGCTGGAGGTATTATTCAAACTGGGGCTTTAGCTAAAAAACAGACTAATAATCCATTAGTGCGCTTCCTGTTTCTTGGATAGAAATGCCAATTCCCACAAAAAAACAGGTATGTTGAATCAGTGAACTCATGTTGAGGGCACCCCAGCTTCATCATGAGTCCTTTACACTCTGAATCAGGCTCCTGAAATCATGGCACTGCCTAAAAGCCCGTGACTTTCTAACAATTCTGCACTCTAAAAAATTGCATCCCATTTTAGAGGTTTTAGAGAAATCTGTGTCCATAATCACATGAGCTAAGATTATATTCACTGGAATGAACTGTTCTTGCTAACACAGCATCAGCAGAAGTGTGAGTAAGGTCATAAAAGTCATCAGCAGAATATGGAGTTTATTTTCTTGCTTCTCTTTCAAAAGCCTCCTCCACTGATTCAGTCATAGGGGCCTGTGCTGGGCAGCAGTTTCTTTCATGGAACAGTAGTATTTAATTCTCAGGGGCTTTACAAGTCTGAAGCCACCTCATAATGTCAGAGAAAGTATCTCACTGGTAATAAATGCAGATGTTAGAACAAAATACAGTGTTATCCCAGCAGCTCTTGTTGCAGCAGGGCCCAGCATGATCTCCTGCATAAAGAACATCCTATTTCTAAAAAGTAATCTTCACACTGCATCTCAATTAGTTTGAAAAGCAATGTGTATTTAATGCATTTTTATTTACAGGGCCATAAGCATTATGGGCTTATGGAAATAACACAAGTGAGCTTTTCTGATGATCGTGTCCCAAAGCCATTCCAACAGTAACGGGCTCTCTTTGGGGCTTTTCTGCTTACTTTATTCCCTCTCTGGTAGAAGCAGCTGATCTGGAAAGCCACATGAATATACTCCTAGTACACATAATCCCTTTAGTTCCCTACATGACTGTAATTGCACACATTGGCAGACTTTGTTTGTATTTAAATATTTTCATAGGAGGGAAAGTCATTCCAAGCTGATCACTTCATGAGGCCAAAAATTTCATTAGGAGCCATTTCAACAATTACAATAAATAAGAAAATAATTTGTTGGTACAGTTGTTCCATAAACACTATAATTTATATTAAAATAACTCTTGGTCCCTAACGAAATTTGTCTGTTTATGATAATCACCACAACAAACTTATTG